ACTCAATACCAGAAAAACAAACAACCCAATCAAAAAGTGGGAAAAAGACCTAAACAGACATTTCTCCAAAGAAGACATATAGATGCCTAACAAACATGAAAAAGATGCTCAACATCGCTCTTTATTAGAGAAATGCAAATCAAAACTAAAATGAGATATCACCTTACACCAGTCAGAATGGCCATCATTAAAAAGTCTACAAACAATAAATGCCGGGGGAGGGTGTGGAGAAAAGGGAACCTCTTGCTCTGTTGGTGGGAATATAAATTGATTCAGCCACTATGGAAGACGGTATAGAGATTCCTTTAAAAATTAGGAATAAAACCACCATATGACCCAGCAGTCCCACTCCTAGGCATATATACCCTGAGGAAACCAAAATTTAAAGACACATGTATCCCATTATTCACTGCAACACTATTACAATAGCTCGAACATGGAAGTAACCTAGATGTCCATCTACCAATGAATGGATGAAGAAGTTGTGGTGCAGATACACAATGGAATATTACTCAGCTATAAAAAGGAACGCCTTTGAGTCAGTTCTAATGAGGTGGATGAATCTAGAACCTGTTATACAGAGTGAAGTAAGTCAGAAAGAAAAAGATAAATATTGTATTCTAATGCATATATATGGAATCTAGAAAAATGGTACTGAAGAATTTACTTACAGGGCAGCAGTGGAGAAACAGACATAGAGAATAGACTTGTGGACATGGGGAGAGGGGAAGAGAGGGTGAGATGTATGGAAAAGAGTAAAATGGAAACTTACATTACCATATGTAAAATAGATAGCCAGTGGGAATTTGCTGTATGGCTCAGGAAACTCAAACTGGAGCTCTGTATCAACCTAGAGGGGTGGTTTGGGGAGGGAGATGGGAGGGAGGTCCAAAAGGGAGGGGATATATGTATACCTATGGCTGATTCATGTTGAGGTTTGACAGAAAACAGGAAAATTCTGTAAAGCAATTATCCTTCAATAAAAAATAAATAAATGCTAAAAAAAAAAAAAAAAAGGAAGAGAAGCTGGAAAGCTGGACCAGTGGTGAAGGTTGAGTGTCAAGAGGAAGAGTCCAGTGTGGATGCTGTGGCTTCCCGGGACACCACCCAGATTTGAGATGCTTTTAGTCAGTAGCTTATTTGTTTTAAAATGTACCCTGTTTTTAAAAATGTCCATTTTGGATCTGAGAGCTTGGCAGAGTGAACCCTAACGGTAGACGTACCATCAGAATCCTTCCCTGTAAATCCTGTATGTCACACATGACTTGGTGATGGTCATTTTGAGAGGTGTTAGCGGGCCTGGGTGACTTTAGCCAAGACCTTTGCCCACACGAGGGGAACGCACGTCATGAAGAGAGGCAGGGTATGCGAGGTGTGAATGCCCTCCTGTTCTGAAATTCCTCCTAATCTTAAACCGCACTTGCCAAGGCCCCTGTGACCTCCTCCCCCAAGATGTTAAAACTGATACAAACTCACTAATCAGTCATTCAGCTCTTGTGGGCAGAGCAGGCATTCCTGGGCTGAACTCACCTTCTGTTGACCACGTTTGACCTTTGAAAAAAGCTCTGGGTTCTAACAACTGCTTTGTAAGCTAATTTTAGAAGAAAACCCTCTGGGGAGTTCCCTGGTGGCCTGGTGGTCAGGATTCTGGGCTTTTCATGGCTGTGACCCAGGTTCAATCCCTGGTTGGTGCAGCCAGAAAAAAGAGTAAAGTTACAAAAAGACCCAAATGGAAATCCAGGAACTGAAAGGTACTGTGAAATAAAATTCATATTTAAAAAAAAAGAAAACTCTTTTGTAAATTGGGGATTGCCCAAAGAGCAAATGTATTTGCACATTCTGGTTAGGGAATGGGTGGAGGGTTGAACAGCCAAAGAGACGCAGACGTGTGACAGGTTTGCACACAATTCTGAGTTCATTGTTTTCACAGGCATGATATCTTCCCTGAGAACTTGATTTTTCCCATCTTTCCCTTGAGTGCTGGTAGCTGTGGTATGAATTCAGAGTTTGCCATCCACCCCGGTGCCCCTGTAACCACCCCAGCCCCCCAGTTGTGTACAGGTATGGGGCTGGTGCTCAGAGGACGGGTGCAGGTGGTGAGGAGCTGTTCACAGCTGTGCACGCTATGAATGGCCCCTGGCCTCAGGGTCGGAGCAGCTCCGTACACCTTCCAGAACCCGGCACTTCTGACCTAGCTCTAGGTCAGAAGTGAGGCAAGGGTGGTGCTAGCCGTCAGAAATGGGTTTTGTTTTCCTGGGCAAGAAAATAGCATCTCTTCCTTCCAGGGTCCCCTTTCCTCCTGGCTCTGCAACTAGGGCAGTTGCGCCAGCCCTCTGGTCTGCCTGTCCTGGGAGCCCTCACCAGTTCTGAGGACGTGGCAGGCTGGCCAGGCCTCCCAAGCTGGCCATTGGGAGTGAAGCCTGGGATTGATTCCGTTTCCAGCTGGCCAGGGTTTGCCTCCAAGAGTTGCTTACTTCTTTCACGGTGACCCGCTGAACTGGCTGGTGGAGCTGGATCACATGTGCATCCTCAGCTTGGTTTTCTCACTTTCGGGGTTTGACCTTGAGTGGACATTGGCCTTCCGAGCATCCCTGTGCTTAACAGGGGTGTGAGTCATCCAACCTGGCTTTCGGCTCTGGAGATATGGGAGATAGTAGTAATCTGGGGCCCTGAGACTTGCCCTCCACAGAGGCCGGAAGACCTCCAGAGGTGGAGTCATTCATAGCATAACAGCTACTAGTAGTAACTTTCATTTGAGAACTATATATTTGAGATCATGCTTTTATTTACTTCATTTGATTGTAATAACCACTCTGTGATGCAGGTTGAATTGTCCAAGGAAGTGAACGTTCTGAGGGGTGGATGAACTCTAACTGATGAAGGACCCAGGTTTTGAGCCCAGCTAGTCTGACTTCAGTCCAGTGATGTTTTTCCTATGATAGGGAAAGCAGGGACCATATTTTTTCCTCAGCCAATTAAAGCAATTAAAGTAATCACTTTACCAAACCCAGTCATATGAAACATTCAATTTAATCATCACAGCGTGACTTTTAAATGAATAAAACAGCATCTCTTCCTTTTTCCAGAGGCAGCATTATAGAATGAAAGGGCACAAAACCATTATATGTCAGAAATCATGACATCTGATATCTTTACCTGAATTTTCTCATTTATAAAATAGAATCGGTAACATTTATTATTTCCCATGGCAGGGCTTTTTAGGTACATGTCAAGGCACTTTGAAAACTGTACTGTTATTTTTTAAACTTTTGAAGTCCCTTCATTCCAATTACAATTCCTTCATCAGCTTAGACACTTTTCAGGATGTTAGGAGAGCAAATATATTACACTTGCTCAGGAATACTTTCCACACTTAACTAAAATCTCTTGAATTCATAGATCCGGAAAGAGAGCTTTGGGAGAACATGCTCTCTTTGGGCAGAGTGAGATGAGCTGCTGTCGTGTCAGGGTGTGGGTGAATGGGCCGCTCGGAGTCCAGCGTGCCTGCCCAGGCCCTAAGTGGGCACCTCCGAGTGAGGGGAGGTGTCTCGGGCTCAGTCTGCTGGCTCCATGTTGGGGCCCTGGGTGGCAGTTCCTGGGCTCAGAGACCAGAGCACAGTCTGATGCAGCCAGTTAGCTATGTTCTTTAGAAGCTTTAAAAAAAAAAAATGGCCTCCTCAATAAATTTTAAAACTGTGGAAGGATCTAGACAGGTTACAAAGGAGGAAGTAATAAAAACGTTGGGCAGTTCAACCTGAATAACCCTGCCCACTTGATAGGTGATCAAAGAAACTCAGGTTGAAAGCAGTTACCCTTTTTACCCTATCCAGCTGGAGAACATTTTTTCAAAACATTCAAGGTGAACATTGGTGAAGGTGAAGTGAGACAGACAGTGGTGAGGAGGTGTATACTGGTACAGCTTTTCTGCAAAGATATTGGGAGGTATGTTTGGGGGGGAGCCTTACGATTATGACCTTAGAGCTCCTATTTCCAATTACAGGATGTTTTCTTGTGGAAATAGTAAGAGTTGTAGGTCATAGAATGTTTATCTGTGGGAATATTATGGTGTTAATCATAATTGCAAAATCCTATAAACAACTTAAATGTTCAAGAACAGGGAAATAGTTAATAAATTATTCAACAGTATGGTGGAATATGGGATATAGTCAGCCATTTAAAGTTGTATATTTGAGTAACATTTTAATGATAAGAAACATGTTAATGAGGATGAAAGTGGGATGCCAGCCTGCTTGCTTATAATTTATAGGTAACTAGGAATAAATGTCTCTGTATCTCAAGCTGGTCGTAATCATCTTTGGGCAGAGAAATTATTTTCTGTATACTTTTATTTTCCAAAATTTTCTACAGTATGAATATATCTTTTTATAATCAGAGAAACAGTACTTGAAGAAAATTCAGGGGATGAGAATGTCTTCATTAAATTCTTTTAAAATGTAAAATGAAATTTTAAGGTATTAAAGTATAAGGTATTACAAATAAGAGGTAAGTACCATTTCAGCAGATGAATGAATAAGTTAGGCAGACTGCCACGAGGTTATTGATTTTAAGAGAAAAAATGATAAACCACTGTGGGTAATATTCACATTTTTCCGGCAGTTATAAAGAAACCACTGATTTTCTAAAATAGCAGGTGCTGAATTGGGAGAACTCTAGAGAAGTTTTATTTCATCACTTAATTTTTACATAATGACTGTATTATAAAGTGAGGAAACTTAAAATTTCAGATAGAGAAATTTATTTCTGAATATCACAAAATTTTGGTATTTGTGGAAAAGATTTAATAACTGCTGGGTATAAATACCTGATTGATTTACTTTGAGGAGTGCATATTCTTAATCAGCATTCTGAATTAAATGGGGGCTGTTCAGATGGATCGTTTTACGTAAGTTTTAAATATTTATGGTCAGACTGATGCCAGAGAAAGTACAGCATCTTGAGTATGCTTATGAAACACTGAACTCCTGCATTTTATTTTACAGTGTAGCTCTCGCAATATATTACCACATCAAAAACAGGTATGTGGATTTTGTTTAATTTTGTGCTGAAAACATCACACATTATCTACTGTGACATTTTTCCTATTGCGTTCTAGTTGCCTCAGCCTTTGAGTTTTGTATTCTTATCTCACTTTCATAGAATCTGTAAAGGTTAGGGTTACCTACACCTCCCAGAGAATTACTGAACTGCTTCTGAGTCAGAGGAAACCAAATGAAGTCGGCAAAAGAGAACAGTTTCTTGATAGTATTCACCTCCTCTTGACTTTATTTTCTGTGTCATTCACTTAAACATTCTGTCTTTTATAAAATATTTTTAACAAGTTTCTGTGCACAGCTTTCACATGAAAAAGAAGTTTATAGTTTCAATTCAGTAGAAACAGTTTTGTTGTAAAGTTAGTCATAAACTCTTTTAAGGTGGTAGAAATCCTCTGTGATGGGAGACAGTTCAGTTAATTTTAGAAGTGAATTGAAACCCGGAATCATAGAAAAATCATATAAGAAGTTACTTGTTCTGCCAGTTCTCTTTCCTCTTTTTGCAGACAGTAAGTCATAGAGCAGAAACTGTGGTGTGTGCCATGCAGGGTGCATGTCAGAGACAGATCTGCAGCTTCTAATAATTGCGAGCCTAACTGATGTTGGAATGTTACGTGCTGTTACCAAAGCAGCGGTTTCCAAAGAAATTTTTTAGACAACACTCAAGTGACATAAGCCCGGTGGAAGCAGAGCCGTCACTAGCGGGGTGTGGCCCCCCAGAGCCCAGCGCCCCCGCTGTCTGTGTTCACAGAGAGAGCCGCCCCTTTAATGGGCCTGTGCAGGTACCGGCGTGGTAACAGCCAGGTACACCTTTCTACATGCCCCTGTTGTTTCTCAGTATTGAGGCGTGGGGCTTCCCTGATGGCTCAGTGGTAAAGAATCCGCCTGCCAGTGCAGGAGAGACAAGAAATCGTCCCTGATCCAGGACGATTTCGCATGCTGCAGAGCGGCTAAGCGCATGCGCCACAGCTTCTGAGCCTGTGCTCTGGAGCCCAGGAGCCGCCACCGCTGAGCACTGGAGCCATCACTGCTGAAGCCCGCGTGCCTGGAGGCTGTGCTCTGCAACGAGACCCCCAAGCACAGCAGCTAGAGAAGAGCCCATGCAGCAGCGAAGACCCAGCACGGCCAAAGATAAATAAAGTTATTTTTTAAAAGTGCAGTCGTGAAGCCCCTCATTAGTGAAGTGGTTAAACTGCATGCTGTGAGAATTTCAGACTAATCTCCAGGACATACCCTCAGACTTCTTTTGTGTTGACCACAACATAGTGATGGTTTAAACAGATCTGTCAAACTTTGCTCAGAAACAAGATGTTAAAGAAATTTAGATTTGGTGCATTTGAAAACTCAAGAAATGAAAATCTTTGATTTTTACTTTACTAAATGGGGTTCATAACCTTTATTTTATGGACTATTCGAAAGTGATTAGGTATTGTCCCCAAGAAAAACAAATTGTAATTCATGAATAATCAGTAGTATTTCTTAACACTACTGCCTCTGTTTCTTGAAATAACAGTTGAATCAGAACATATTTTGTTTTCATTTTGACTGGCACTCTGTTACAGAAGGGAAGCTCCATTTTCTATTACTTTCCTCCCCAGGGACCCAGATGGAAGGATGCTCTTGGATATTTTCGATGAAAACCTTCACCCTCTCTCGGTAACCCTCCCCTTGGGCCCCGGGGTGTGGTCCAGCCATGTTCCTATGGCTCATGTGGGGCGGCTAGTCATTGAGAATGTCTCCCTCCCCAGAAATCCGAAGTGCCACCAGATTACGACAAACACAACCCAGAGCAGAAGCAGATCTACCGGTTTGTGCGGACGCTGTTCAGTGCCGCTCAGCTGACTGCAGAGTGTGCCATCGTCACCCTGGTGAGTGCCCGCAGGGTGACATGGCCAAGAGCGGGGTGCAGGCGGGGATGTCCACTGTAGACTGGGAGCCCAGCGCCACCTCGGGGTTGTCTTTTATCCAGAGTAGCCACTGGATCTCCCAAAAGAGGGCATGTGGTCTGTTCCGCAGTCCCACCTAATGCCCCTTGTCAGATCACACTCAGAAGCAGGAACGCTGAAACGACCCAAGCAGGTGAGTGGGACCCAGGGCCCACAGCGCTGAGAAGGACCAGGGCCGCCTCAGTGATGTCCAGGTTTCTGGACTGCTGTCATTGCTGCCTTCTCTTCTGTGATTTTTGTGTAAATATATGTCTGTAAGATACTCAGAGGCAGCATGGACATAATAGGCACATTGACTCAAGTTAAGAACCTGTAGCCTTACTTAGATTCTTAAAACCTTAGGGATGAATGATTTAGCTCCAATCTCATTGGGGAAGTAGCTTTCACAGCAGCGCTGTCACTGACCTTTCACATTGCGAACCACTCGGATGAGAAATGGCCTCCGCCAGGGCGTGGGCTGCCCCGTGAGCCTGGGCAGGTCCCTGAGAAGAGGCCCTGTGGTGTGACGACGTGTGTGTGGACCGTCCACATCTCAAACCACACTGAGAGCCCCGTGTTCTCAGCTGAAGGCACAATGACCCGTTTGCTTGTGCATTCCTTCTCTCGTGGAATTTGTCCCCTGACAGGTGAACAGACATCCAGCGAGTCTTCCGGCGATGTGGCGCTGATAGACGCTTAGGTCATGACTGAGAAGCATGTTTATGGCTCAGCTTTGTTTCTCCAAAGGATATCAGATCCTCAAAAAACACCCTCCAGGCGGCAGGGTTGACATTTTGATGAAGGGAGATAGTGACAAAGGGGGAAGAAGGGGAAGAAAATCAGATAATGAGTACTTAAGTTGACGCCCTGAGGAAAGATTTACTTTGAAGCTCCTGCTCCAAGATGCAATGTAGTGGGGTTTTTTACCTTCCATTCTGAAGAAAATGGTGACTTGACTTTGCCCTGTAGCACCTTCGAGTTTGGATTTATCAGTGTGAAGAAGCTTCGTGTCCTGTGAAAGGCGTAGTTTCTGCAGAGACTTCTGTTGAGGATGTGTAGAGTGTGTTCCCCTGTCTCCGAGCAGACGTCTGTCTTGGGAGTGCTGTGGGAGTGGTGTGTGTCTGTCAGTCGTGGGAGCTGCTGAAATCCTCCCTTGTCCTGGGACAAGGTGGCTGGGGCTTAGCGGGAGATGAGCGTCTCTTGCTACAGCTGACGGTGGGCAGCGTCGGGGGCCCTCCCAACAGGCACAGATCTGCAGACTGATTCTTGATCCTCCAGGGTCTGCTTGGTTGGCCCAGGCAGCCAACTGTGTGTTCCAAGCGAGCCCTGTGTGTGATGGTCCCACCCGTCTCTCCAGGTTCGCAACAACCCTTCACAACAGGTCTGGGCTAGAGCTGGCAGGCTGCATCCCTCTCTGCCTTTCTCCTGGGCCTTCCCTTGGTGGCCTGGCCCGTTGCTCGGAGGAGGCAGGGAGGACCACAGTTAGCTCTGCCCTACTGCCTGCAGAGAGCCAGACCGCTGCCCGCCTGTGGGAGGCAGGGCCTTCAGCCACTTGCTGCTGTGTGTGTCCGGGAGCACCAGGCTTGCCAGCCCAGCTGGGTCCCCCTGGCGGCCTTGAGGACTGTCCCTCGGCCCCAAAGTGCCTCTCAGGCCGGTGCTCTGGTGAAGAGGCCACCTGTGGAATCTATCCATTCTGACCCCAGAGACCCCCTTTTTAGGGCACATTAGTGATTTCTACCGAGGTCAGAAGTGTCAGATACAGTCCAGTGAGGAATCCACCTTCCTCAAATATTAGCAAATAGGAAGCACTGGGGAGGCCCACAGTCAGCTCAGCTGTGGGTAAGAGTCTACAGTGAACGAACCCAGTGCTGCTGTCTGTGATGGACAGGGAAACCCAGCATCCTCGAAAGTGTGGTCCCGTGTACCCTGGAGTCCGTGAGTTTGCACTTTCTCCCTCCTCCCCTTCCCCACACCATGCCTTTGAATAGCTTTATTTTGTACAGTCACCTGGACGCTCTGTAAGTGCTCACTAACCTGTATTTTCTAGAGACTCTCAGGATGGTCCTTCTTATGAAATTAAATCTGAAAATTTAATTGAGCAGCAGTGTCCTGTTAGCAATGGTGTAGGGAATGGTGTTCAGAAAAAATCAATCGTATATTATTTTACTTGGCAGAAAATTAAAATACCCAAGTGGAAGTTTACTAAAGAAATTACAGCTGACTGTTGAATATAGCTTTCTTGGCAAGTTCTGCTAAATTACATGCTATTATGTGGTGCTTATTATGAATTCCTTCTCCCCAAATATAACATCTGCTTCCCCTCGGTAATGGAGTGTGTTACCATATCTAATTTCTCTAGTTCATCTTAGTGGAATATCAGATGTGATAGATGCCTGTTTTTTTCAAACATCTTAAGTATTACCTAGTGTGCCTATTAATATCTATCTACTGTGGTTAAGTAAGAAGAAAACTGAGTAGCCTTCTTTTTGTACTGAGTCAGTGAGAAGCTATTTCATTGGGGGGGCTTGGAGAGGTTTATATAGCTTGTTTATATAAAAGAATAGCGTCTTAGGGATCTGGTTAAAGAGTGTTGATAGTGATTGTTTAAAAAAATCTGGAGTTAGATCCAGCCTCAGTTTTCTGCTCTTAGTACAGTTTTGTGGCACATTTTAAAAAATTCTTTTCTTGGTGGAATGAGAAGAGGTAGTCATCAACCTTTGTAACATACATAGTCTGGGCTCCTGAGGTCAGTGTCCAGTTAAAATTCCACTCAGCCTGGCCTGGATCTCTCACTGAAGAATTTCAGTTTTCACACAAAAATAATGATCTAAAACATTAGCTTACTCTTCCTGCTCCTTGAATGAAATAAATGCCATTAAAAACTAAAATCTGACCGATGGAAAAGATGATTGAACTCTGCTGAGTGACCTACTTCTTTTCACCTGTGGTGTCACAGCCCAGTGCCGTTCTGTCCCTGAGAGACATTTGGAGTGCCCTGAAGGTCCGTAGAGTACCGGTGGCAGGCACGTGTCATGACCTCAGAGGCCTCTGTGAAGGCCTCTCAGATGTTCTGTGCTGAGCACCCCGAGTGGACTCTCCCCGAGCGGTCTCCTCTGACCCCCCGTTCCCCGCGCACCTGTCTCTCAATCCAGGGCCTGAGTTTCCCACCTGCCTCTGACCGCAGCTCCTTCCTGAATGCCATTGCTGTGGTCATCTCATCCACTCAGGCCTCCCTAGACCTGCTCTCCTGTAGCCGCATCCCACACCCAGAGCTTGTCCTTCCCGCAGCGTCCTGTGTCCCTGAGGCCAGCACGCGGGGGCCACTCCCTGACCCAGCCCCGTGCTGGACGCTGGGCACACGGTGGGAGTGAGGCCTGGGCGTGGTCCTCAGGGGACTGTGGCTTCCTTGGAGGAGAGACCGGAGGAGGGCAGCTACCCTGCCGGGGGAGAAACCACAGACCAGGGTGGGGCAGTAAGGTGGACGTGATTGCTTCCTGTTTGATCACCAGGGCCTCTTGGCAGCTCATTGGGTATGGCTATTTTGTCTCTGTGATTACATTGGTAGTTTCTTTCTCATGATTTTTATTTTGTCTTTCATACTGTGCTCCTCATCTGGTCTGAGTACCTGGTATCTGAGATCAGCCATAAAAATCCTGCTTTTTAAGATGGAAAGAATTGACTTTTCATTAGTAAAGCGCTGGAAGCAGAATGAGAACTTTTTAAGCAAAAGCACCCTCATTCACCTTTTACTGACTTAGCAGACAGTTAGTGCCGGCCCCCACCTTAAGAGGCACAGAGCTCCTCTTGAGCGGCAGAGGCAGACAGGCTGGTGGCCCCGCTCCGCCTCCTGTGGCTTCCCCTCCTGGGCCCCCGTTCACAGACCGCAGGCCCCACAGGCCGGCCGCAGAGGCCATCGGGGGCCTGCTGTGCTTTGGGAGGGAGCCTTGACCCTGCCTCTGCCTGTGGTTTAGGGACAGAGGGGGCCGGTGTGCTCGTGTCTTCCAGGTGTACCTGGAACGGCTCCTCACATACGCAGAGATCGACATCTGTCCAGCCAACTGGAAGCGGATTGTTCTGGGGGCCATCCTGCTGGCCTCCAAGGTGTGGGACGACCAGGCTGTGTGGAACGTGGACTACTGCCAGATCCTGAAAGACATCACGGTGGAGGACATGTGAGTGTGGGCGGGGCGGCCCCGTGTGGGCGTGCGCGGCGTGGAGTGAGTGACTGCGACTGTGTGTCGTGAGCTGGCCGAGCAAGGACACGGCTGCGGGCAGGATTTACCAAACCCGTACGTCTCGTCCTGTGGCTCCCAGACAGGTACTGGCTACACTTCCTGGCTTGTGAGTCTAGTCTCTGAAACCATGTCCCAGGGAACCGTCCTTTCCCTTCCTGCTCCCCATCTGCGGTGGGGTTCATCCCCACCGTGTACCCACTGCAGATGGACGACAGGCAGCAGACGGGCTGAAATGCGCCCTGCCGCTTCAGTTTCAGAGAGATTTTCGCTGCTCTTGTCATGTGTTGCAAGTTCAGTTGGCTTCACATGAACTCTCCATCTCTCAGGGCCCTCCTGTGTGTCCTGATCGGGCCGCTTCTCTCAGGGCACCGTCCTGGGTTTACCTGCAGCCCGGGGCCCGGGGTCCCTGGGGCTGGGTGTACAGGAAGTGGCGTCAGGACAAAAGGAGCTGCTTTGGAAACAATCAGGATGAGCTTCTGCATTGCTGACCCAGTTCTTACATTTTTCTCATCTTGTTTGTCCGGCATCCTCGAGGCACCTCTTGCTAGAGGAGGTTCACTGTGTCCCAGCCCCCATCCGTGTCCCTGGGCCCTGTGACCATTGAGTGCTCCTCCCCAGCCTGTCCCCTTCTTCCGGTTGCTGGCTGGCTGGGCACTCCCCTTTTTGCTGCCCTGGGGACACTTGTTTATGTTCTTGAATCTTTTGCCACAGAGCCTTTTCCTACTACAGACCAGTAAGACTCCTTCCTGCACCTGTCATTCCTTATCCTTAAAAAGTAAGAGAAATACGAGGTTTTTGATATCAAGAAAAAGAAAATTTAAAAAAAAATTTTAAGTCTTGATTTTATTTCAAGCAGAAAACAGTTATTAAGAGAATTGTCATCCAGACTATAAGTTGGTCGCTTCCACCTTTGGCTGTTGTGAGTAACTCTGCTGTAAACGTGAACATGAGTGTGCAAATTCCTGCCTGAGGCCCTGCTCTCTGTTCTTTGGAGTCTGTGCCCAGGAGTAGGATTGCCACTTAGTAGCTGGTCTTTAAAGTGGGCTCATTTTTCTAGAAAAGTCGATAGGCCATGAGGTGATGAAAACAACTCTTTCCTCCATTGGAGAGCCCCATTCAGAAGTTGCTAAGTGGCATCAGTTCAACTGGGTTTCTTTACAGTGATGACCTAATGTAACAGATACTTCTGAAATGTTTTTGGTTTATTGGCTTGAATTTATTTATTATAAAGTTTTACATCAGAACTATTTACTGGTAATTAGGCTTCCCAGGTGGTGCTAATGGTAAAGAATCCACCTTCCAGTGCAGGAAACAAAAGAGACTCAGGTTTGATGTCCTGCGGAAGATTCCCTGGAGAAGGAAATGGCAGTCCACTCTAGTATTCTTACCTGGAGAATCCCATAGACAAGGAGCCAGGCAGGCTAAAGTTCATGGGGATGCAGAGAGTCAGATACAACTGAGCAACTAAATGCACACACACACACACACATACACACCCCCTTGAGAGTAGCAAATCCATCAAACTCATTCCCTCTGCATCACTGTTAATTTTCTGATGATTTATCATATAACAAGCTGTCAGATGTCCCTGGAGGAGGTACTGCTTTCGTTTGGAAATTCAAAGTTGGGGAATTATTTTTATTTTGTAAATACTGCCCAAGTTTGAAAACACAGCCACTCTAAAATCTTTATTTTCCCCCAAAACTTAAGCAGAAACATTTAAAAAATAAATACTCAGAAAGGCCGTTTTTCCCTTAAGGAACCTGGGGAAACTGCCACCTTGTTTGAAATCAGATCCTCTTGACTTTAATCCTGGTTATACCCTCAACAAAAGGCAGTGGTGTCTAAATACCATCTGGGGTAGGAATAGCTTCCTGGCTCTCTTAACTGGTTTTCTTCCTGGCATTGGAGCATGGGGTCTGCAGTGGCACCACTTGGCCACTAGGAGGCAGTGTGTCCACAGGCAGCTCCCAAGTCTTGTTAAGATCCTACCTCGATTCTTGTATTTCACAGGATGATCTCCTAAGTCTGACTTGAAGCAGGTATAAATAAAAGTCATTAGAAGTGTAAATTTTGACATAACATACACATTTGGGGCTTAACTCCTTTCTCAAAGCTGCATGGAAGCAGCCCCTCTGATTAGATGAACTGAATTCGATGACTTGGTCTTTCCCTCCAAAGCGCTCAGGCCTTTGATAACAACTTGCAAAAGGTTTCTCAGTTATCTTTTGCCTGGGAGCTGCTGTCAGGGAACCAGCCACTACTGCCTCCCAGACTTAGCTCAGCTGTCACTTCCAGGAAGCTTTCCCTGATTCCTCCACCCAGGCTGAGCTTGGTCCGCTCCATTCAGTAATTAATAACAGTAATTATTGAGCACCAGCTGTGTGTCAGGTGCTGTGCTGGGGCCAGGCTGCAGTCAGATGTCACGGTTTCCGGCTCGGAGGAGAGGAGAAGGGGAGACTGTGATAACGGACAGAAGTGAGTCCAGAGTGCTGCCCCGGGGGGTGGCCTAGAGCTGAGAGTCTGGCCCAGGACTAGTGCTGACAGACAGACCTGTCCCTGAGGATGCTTCTCCCCCGGCAGTGACTACCAAGAGGTAGGCCTGCTGATAGCGGATGTTTTACAGTGTGTTCTGGCCTTCATCCAGCTATAAGTGGGTTGGCTCCTTTATGGACCAGGCGCTGTTACCCAGGTTTTCAGCAGGAGGGCAGGCTCAGCGGCAGGAGCATATTAGAGGTGCATGTTCTTGGACCCACCCAGACCTGTCACATCATGGGGTGGCCCAGCTGTGGGTGCTCACAGACCCTGCGGGTGATGGGTTAGGGTGGGTGGCTGGGTGCATGCTGGGACTGATGGTCTCCTCCCTCCTCTCTCGTGGTCCTGAGGAAGCTGCTCATCGCTTCCCAACCCTTCCCTCCCAGCAAGGTGATCCTCTGGGTCTCGGAGGCCTGTCCTCTAGGCAAGAGTCCAGTCTCACTGGACTGTTTGACAGCTTCTAACTGTGTCTCCTGCCCCGTTTGATGGCTTATGCCGTGAGGTGAGGCCGGAGCCTGCTGCATGCGTATGTGTGTGCACACACACGTGCGCTTGGTCTCAGTGTTGGGGTCAGTCTGAAGCACTTCCTGGTACTGATCATCCCAGTTCATCAGGCCTCATCCTTCCTGGCACTGGATCAGATGGGCTTGGCTTTTATTGCCAATTTGGTGGTGAGATGGCAACTCTGCGTCCAAACAGCTGCTGGAGAGATGGCTCTTCTCCCTGGAGGGTGCCAGGCAGCCTGTGTCGGGCAGGCTGCCTGGGCCATCCGCGGTGGGGACAGTGGCCAAGCTGTGCATTTCTGTCTTCCTCTGCAGGAACGAGCTAGAGCGACAGTTCCTTGAATTGCTCCAGTTCAACATCAACGTTCCTTCCAGTGTTTATGCCAAGTATTATTTTGATCTTCGTTCTCTGGCGGAAGCCAACAACCTGAGCTTCCCCTTGGAGCCCCTGAGCAGAGAGAGAGCCCACAAGCTGGAGGTAAGAGGCGCCGGCGTCCCGCGCGTGCGCTCCTGGGGCAGAGCTCTATGCTCAGGCCGGTTCCTTCCACTGCCAGTCATCGTAAAATAAGGGCCAGATGACCTGGATTGCATTGGTACAACCTCATACTTTGAATAACCGTCTCAGTACTGGTTTTTATTTAATGTGCATTGATTCTGTTTTTTAAATCAAAAAAGTTTTTTAAAGCCCCTGTTTTAAACCAGCATGCTTTATAAGGGAAAAGATACCAGATGACCCTGTGATTGGCAGTCCATAAAGGTTTGAGTCTGCTTTTATTTTTCATTTTTTAAAGTGTTTTCTCCACAGCCTAGTCAGAGCTCCAGCCAGCCGGGTTGGTCTTGACCTGGGTTTAGGGCCGTCATTGTGAAGCTGTGTGACACTGTGTCTTAGGTACAGCTCGGCTTTGCACTTGCACTGGGCTCTTCCCACCTGACTTTTGGCGGCTGCAGGTGTGGGGAGAAGGCTCACGGGTCAGAGTCGTCTTCCAGGGGAGGTGCAGGGCCCTCAGCACCTTCGTCCCGAGCGTCCTCCCACTGCGAGGATGGGGTGTGGCCAGGATGCTGGCCCGGGGCTGATCTGAGTGTCTCTCTCTGCCCCTCAGGCCATCTCCCGCCTCTGCGAGGACAAGTACAAGGACCTGCGAAGACCCACGAGGAAGCGGTCAGCGAGTGCTGACAATCTGACTCTGCCCAGGTGGTCCCCGGCCATCATCTCCTAACCCTGGGCGTCCCTGCCGGAGGCCGTGCCATCCCTCAGTTTCTCCTTTAGTTCGAGAAAAGACAGACGTGGGGTGGTTTTGTTTTGTTTCCTCTCCTTTTCTTTTTAATTCATAGCTCCGCCAGGCTGCCTTGATGAGCGCCTCCAGGCTGCGCGCATGCGCAGCAGGGCTCCAAGGACACACAGTCGGTGCCATGGGATCCCGTCCATGCCTTCCCAGCCCCGGGTCAGCGCTTCCTTCGTGGAGGAAAAAGACTCTAACCCTGGAGGAGGCAGGGAAGGGACGGGAAGTCGCACAGAGGCAGGGAGAGCAGCTTGGCCTGGTTCCTAAGTCCCCGTCGGTAACCCGAACCAACCCGACAGGAGAGCCCGGCGTAGGTGACATTTAAGTTGGATGCGCATTAAAGGCGCGCGCCGCGTTCACCACCCCACCCGGATCAGTATGTCCCGTTAAGACTTCTTGCATTCCTTCTTGCTGCTTCTCGGGGATTTGGGGGGGATTTTTGTTTGTTTTATTCTGTTTTGGTTTTGGTCCCACAGAGCAGAGAATATAGTTTGTACCCACCATGGCACAGACATCCAAATAAATAGCACTGGCTGTTTCTCTCTGCACCACTCCTGCGAGCTGTCTTCTGAGCTTTCTTGCTCTCCAGGGGGAGCACTTGTCACGTCTCTGCGCACCTTTATCCTAGACGGTTTTCTCCACAGTGGCGGAATCAACTTGACTGTAGTGCTGAACCAGACGACTCCCTTCCCCCAGCTCCTCCCCCAGGAACATTCTAGATCACTTGGGTGCTTGTGCCTTCTGATCCTGCGGTGGTCTCTCTCTGCCTGCCCCAAGGGGCAGCCCCTTCCCTGCCCTGCCCACCCCACTCCTCTACTTCCACGTCCATTGTGCAAGCAATATTCCTCTCAACTTTTATATGTTTACTTCAAATCAAAGTTAGTCTATTTGTATAAAAATTTTTTAAAAATCTAAAATTTAAAAAAAAGGGGGTGGGGGTGGGTATTCACATGGAAGATCACTGAAGGGCAAAATGTTCCTATTTACTGAGGTATTTTTCACAGAATGATTGAATAAAAAACTCGACTTGCATTTTCATTGTGGGTGCTTAGTGAAGTTATATGAAACTAAAACTGTGAAGGTTTATGCGTCATTAATTATGACCATCCTTTATCATTTCTGACTATTCTTCATTTCCTTATGGGCTAGATGAAAAGCTTTTATAGCAAGGAAGATTAAGGGTTAATGACAGAACCTCACAGTTAAGTGTAAGAATCTGGGTCAGTGAAGCATACAGTGCTTTGGGGTTTGCACATTTTCTCGGGTCACAATAACAGAAGTTTCTAAGTTTTTCCTTCATCAGGTCTTTGAGGCAAATGGCAGTAGATAAATCTGTGTTTTACCACCCTCCTGTGTGAGCTTGGAAAACTCTGGAATCTTATGTTATTTGTCTTGTGCCCTGAACTCATATACCTGCTCCCCAGACATGCCTGCCCTGAGGAGACATGCTTCTTCAGTGGGAGGGTCTCAGAAGCACCCAAGCAGCCCAAGAAGACAGCCCAGTGCTAGTCAGATGGCCCTGAGGTTTGTAGCATGTGTAAACCCAACTGTGTGGGCCAGAAACACTGTCAGATTCTTTCTGGCTTAAACTTGCAAAAGCAAACAAGCGGAATATGAAAAGTTAATTATCTTTCCATTGTAACTGTGTATCAATATACTCCATATGGGTTTCAAAATCAGCTGCTCTCTTCAAGTAAGATTTGGATTTAGAACATGAAATAGAGACCCCCCCAAAATGTAGAAAATACCATTTTATATTCCCTAAACTATATAGCTTAAAAAGGGACATATTTTCTTAGCTGACTATGAATACCTCTCAAATAAATTAGTTCCTCCCATGTAGAGTATGTTACTTTACCGATCCATTTCAGGAAAGAGGTTTTGCTGCCTTTCAAGCAGACATCTTATTTTTATCCCTTTTATTTGAATGAGAGATTTGAAAATTGAATTATGTAAATATTTCAATGCATCTGCTATTATTTTGTGGAGTTTATTAAACTACTTTAAAAAATTGTATAGTCTATTTATTTATGTATGTACATACAGTCTGCTAACTTAAAGTTTAAAGTGGATTCCGTAAAACCTGACTCAGTCTTGTTTAGACTATTGAATATTGTTTTAGCCTTGTGCACTGGATTCTACCTCTGTATAGGAAAATTTTCCATATTCCTGAGCATCGATCTGTATTAATTGGTTATGTTTCTTGCACTAAGGATTTTTAAAACTCTGCTGTAAGTATAGATTTCAGTTTTACTTTTGCAGAATGGTTCCCTTGACATGAAGATAATTTAGGTTGGGTTTATTTTTCTACATGATGAAGAAGACATTACGTTCTCTGGTTTGTTCTAAGTTTGCAAAAAAAAAAAAAAAAGCCCGACAACACCCAATACAGTACCTATTGATAAATCATGGTGATGTAATTTGTTTGCAAGGTGGTTCATGCCCTACAATTAAAGCCGGATTGCTATTTAGGAATACATTGTCTTAGTGTAGTTTTTGAACGGGCAGTTTTCATCGTTAATGAAGGGTGAAGAAAACCACACAATTTATTGCCTTTAAGTTTAGATTTGACTTAAGGTCATTTGGGAGAATAAGTATGCCAATGAATTTTCCCTTTTTGTTTTACCCTTTTTTTCTTTTAAACTGAGGAGAGGCAAAAAAGTCAGGGATTTAAAACCAACTGGAGGGCGAGATGGGAGGTCCTGCCAAGATCCCAGACATCGCTGTACCTTAAATGCACCCACTGGGGCCGTCACCTGGCCCCTGTCCGGGTGGCCCACCCGCACCACCCCCAAGCTGCTCCTTTTGGTCTTTGGCAAGACCACCTCTGCCCCCGGCTTTCCCTTGGGTCTAGGGGTTTTGATGCTTGGCCGAGCTGCAGAGCAGAATTTGCAGAGTGAGTGATTTTGATCCTTCCAGGCTACTTTTGGTAACCTCTCACCTGGGGCCATATTTTAACAGCTTTGAAAATTTTAAACAATTCCTGGTTCATTGTAGGTACTTATTAAGTGTTAAATAAACACAGAGACCAAATAGTGCTTGCCTTCCTGCTGCATTTTTTGAATATGACATTGAGATAGAATTGAACTGGTTTTGAGGATGCTGAGTGAACCAGTTCTTTTCTACATGATGAAAAGCAGTGGAGAGTATTATGGGTTCTGTAGGTGTTAAGTGATCCTCAGAAGGACTGGATCTTCTTCATCCACTTTGACTTCACTAGAATTAGCATCTCAAGACTCCCAATGGGTGGACTGTGGCAACACGGGTTGTCTTCTGAAAGACCAGCCACAGGAGCCCTTCCCTGCCCTTGTTGAAAAAGAGAAGGAAGTAGGGAGTGTACCCTCAAGTGAAAGGGGAACAGGATACTGAAGGATTAATTTGGAACTCATATTTTAAGCTCTGTGAATTACAAGGAAGGCCCCGCACACAACTGCCTTCGGTTCGTGACTGGGGGGTCCTGAACGCCAAGCCTTCCTAGCCCCACTGCACTGGAAACAAACCGTCCTGCAGGGGCCAGCGGCCCCATCCGCAGTAGGGAGGTGAGCAGGGGCTTGCAGTCACCAAGCTACTGGACTAAGACTAGAGTGGGGTAGCGGCTTCCTTCCACTTCTTCCTGGTAGGTTTCTCACTAACTTTGCATGTCTGGAGCTGCTCAAGTTCAGTTGTGTCATTTTCCATAAGAAACGTTCATCTCTGATTTGAAAGGGTCATGGGAGGCGTTGTCTGCATCGCTGTGAGTCTGGGCCGTGGGTCAGACTGGGTGGTCCTGGTGCCCACAAAGCCCATCATAGGTCTTCACAGCAAGAATTGTGGAGGAGCCTGTGTCCTTTAGGGACTTGGTCTGGGTAGAGAACTTTATTCCTTAAAGAGCTTTGTTTAAATAGAATGCAGGATAAAAGAGTGGCATTCCAAAACAACTGCCATTATGGGCAAAAATATTAAATGTAACTAGAACTTAGGCATAACATTTATAGTAACGTCATTCATTTATACTGTAACAGAACATTGGGTTTCAGTCTCTGCCCAAAGTGAACTTGCTGTGACCTTGGACAGGTTCCATCACCTCTCTGGATCACTCAGCAAACTTCACTGGCAAGAGATTGACTTGCTCGTGTTTTCTCCACCGGTCTTACTCTGTTTCTAAACTCACACTGCTCAGCCATTCTTGCATTATGATTGTTGGATGCTGCTCTGCACGCATGTAGGAAGGCTGGACCCACTGAAAGACAAATCCAAGCTCATCTGTGAGTTTCCCCAGGGAAATCAGTTGTCCCTTTCAGGGCCAGGGTGGAAGAAGGGTGGGCATCAGCAGATACGGCCGTTCTTAGGAGGAGGATGTGGGTATCTAGAATTCAGTTGCTGCCCCTCCTCCCCAGGTTTGCCCTAATGCAACTGAATCCTCAGCTTGTCCAGTTGGGTTTTCTGGACCTTTGGTTGTTTTCCACATTGATGGACAATGAAAATCTTGCAACAGAGAAGTTGGGTATAGGAATCCTCCCCAGTGGTTGTCTCGAGAAGGGTGCTGCCTCTTGGGTTAACTCCCAAGTAACGCTTATCCTCCTTAGACCTGCAGACCCAAAGCTCTGGGGGCCACCATGAAGGAGAAGGGCTTCCTTCCCCCTCCTCTCCCGTGACACTTCCGTGGAACTCGGCAAGTTGCAGGCTTCTCAGATCTGCCTCTGCTCAGCAGCTCTTGGGTCTACTGCAAAGGACTTGCATTTCGTTGGGGGGGGGGGTGGCGCGCGGTGTGTGTGAGTGCGAAGAGTTGGGGTCCACTCCAAAGAGAAGTGCAGTATTTGGGGGACAGTGTAAGGTAAAACAGTAGACTCTGCAGGATCAGGACACCCACATACAAGGATTCACCAGGGTACACTGGGCATTTGGTCTGACCAGCAAGTCTTAGAACTTTTCTGGCTTCCAGGAGCTTCATCTTTAGA